GACTAGGTCATAAAATTTTAAATTAAAAAAAATGTATACCCATTCTTACCTTATAAAAAATATACTGCCACATAAATAGACTAACAGAAATCCAACACACAACATGGAAGGATTTGGCAAATACCAGTCATTGCTTGAACAACTCACATATTTTACTAATCTATCATCAAAAGCAGTAGTCTTATAAAACTGAAGGTAAGTTAATGATAACATGAGGTAGAATGGCTTGCATTGGTGTGTGTTCTCAGACATTTAGCTAGAGTAATTGTTAAGTATTTCTCAAGTGATTGTCAGCTCCAATGAAAAGCTAAAGTCTTCAGAACTCAATCTGGAATAATTAATTATAAACTCAGAAAAGTCATAATCTTCATATCATCAATGAAGTTAATAGCCTAAAGGAAACTTCAGGTCACAGACACACATACACACACACACACACACACACACACACACACAGCTTTCTGGCCAACCCAGCATGAGAGACCTTAGTGAGAACCAGCCAGTCAGCCCCACAAAACCAAGAGAAATTGTGAGTTACTAATTCAGAATGTTACATAGCAATCGATAATAGAATACTATCTTCTTGAATTAAGCTTCTTAATTTCTCTGTACTTCATTGTTCTCTTCTGTAAGAGAACTAAAGAGGGCTAAATTAATTAATGTAATTATAACAATTCCTGGTATATGCTAACTTAATAAATTGTTGGCATATCCTTTATTATTAATAACTAAAATGATAGAAGAAAACATTCTCAATTGATGCTCAAGGAAATCTGACATGTAAGAACTTGAGAACAAATATCTCAAAGTAGGCACTCTATTAGTATCTTGGAGGTACCCAGACCTGGCACATACAATTGAACAGTAGAAAGTAGAATCACAAAAGCCCTGAAAAGAAATTTGGATTTTGTATTAGACATAATAAGTAACTTTGGAGGATGGTAAGCAGAAGAATGGCTTGGATCACTCTATTGGAAATGAACATTAGGAGGACAGAAATGAAAACTCCCCCACCCCAAAAAAAATCCTCAAGAAACTCCTACAATCATGTCAGTAAAGGGTTTTGGTGACTTGAACTTGAGATTAGCAGGGGAGAGGAAGCAAGGAACATAAATCTTTGTAGAGCTATGCTTCTTGGATAAGAGACCCTTGGCCTACATGGCAGAGATGAGATTTTTAACTTTAATACAGTCTTTCTAGCTTGTATATTACTCTAAGCTTTAAATCCCAGGAAAGCTCATCCATCTCAGTTTCGTATAATTCAAGGTTGAATTTTTATAGGTTCTTGTAAATAAATATGAGATAATAGAATATGAATTTCCACTTATTTTTTCACAAATATTAAAATAGAAAAGAATGTATCCAAACTGTTTGGCTTTGTGAAAGAATTATTTAAGACAAATTAAGACTCTGGCTCAGGTATCAGTACTGGTCCTGGTATTTCACAGGAACAGAATTCTTGACCATAGAGGTCCTCTTTGGCTCTGAGCATATTATCTAATTCTAACAGCATATTATCTTGTATCTGTACTTTAAAATACTATATAATATAGAAATATCTCATGTTCTTGAAGCCACAATGGATATTCTCAGGGATTTCCTGCTGATGCTAAACCTAAACACCATGTCTCAAAGATAAAATCACCTGCACAAAAGAAGTAATCTTAAAAAAGCAACTGCTATTTTCATTAGTGTTACATTCACTCTGGCTGTGAAATTATGAGTACCACTATAATTTGTGTTGAAGAAGGGGAGAGACTGTCCAATCTATGAAAAGTTTAAATTCTAAAATTCAATAAAGTCAGACTATGATTGCTTATGAACAGGAAGTAGATGCCCGTCCATCAGTAGGAAAAGGAAAAGTCTTATGGTAATGACATAGAATCAAAAGAGAGGCGCCAGCTCACGGAGAGTGTCAACAATTGGTGGTGGTTACCATGAAATAAAAAAGACAAAACAAGAGTTATTACTTAGAAGGGAAGAAAAAGAGAACTGTCAGTTTTACTAATTATGCCAGAGTGAATACTTCCTGCCCTTATACTGGAGAGTACAAGAAAATTTAAAGGCAAATCTTCCCTCTTGGGAAAGATAAAGTGAGGGCACACAAGTCAGTTCAAAAGAAGCATATAAGACTTTCTTCTTTCACATGAAAAAGGATTCAAATTATTCTATCCAAGTGCAACTGAATCAAATCTAAACTTCCTGAAAATTTATCAGTTGATAAAGCAGGATTTAAGTTCAAGGAAACATTCCATGCCTAATCTTCATTTTACAACTTTCACAGATAAATTTTCCTTAGCACTAAAATCTTTCAAAGACAGACTTTCTTGCAAAACAAATTTGTTAAGTGTACAACAAATTTGCCAGATGCCTCAGAGATATGAGCCATTACTTAAGAGTCAGGTAGAAACCTTTAGGATCTATCTCTTGCTTTCAAAGCAGTCATTTCTATGAGGTGCTTAGGAACATAATGTTCAAAATATTGGTGCTGTTATCAGAAGGGTTAATCAGCTTCTTAAAAGTGTTTGTCTTCTCACCGAATATAGTTTATATTTTGGAGAATTTGGCAAAGTTCAAGTTACAGCTTAACTGATTTGTTTGGTAGAATGCAACAATAAATCATTTCCCCCCACTTATTTGTCCTGAAGAATTTTTGGTTTTGTGTTGTTTGTTTTTTAGCAAAGATAGCAGAAAGATTCAAGAAAGGAGGGGGAGTATTAACATACTTTAAGACTTCACATCAAGATAACTAAATGACAACCTTCACATCTTAGTTCTTTATAGAATTTTAGAAACACTCAAAGTTCATTATCAACCTACCAGTCTTGCCCAGCCTGAATGTGTCACTGCAAGATAAATGGACATGAAATTTAATTAGTGCTTACATTGCTATAAAGAAAAATAAGTACTAGGCTTACAAGCCAGTTTATGGCGTGAGGCTAATTTTGCTTCCTTCTAGATATTGCTATTTTTTAAGTTTGTGACACTGAAAAAATACACAGACAGCAGCAATCTATTCTGAGGTATATATTATTGTGACTCTCACTATTCTTCAAATGGTCTGGCCTATCCACTAAAATATAGCAGAGAAGCAGAAACAACAGTAGAAGAAGGAAGAGGAGGAAGAAGAGGAGGAGGAAGAGGAAGAGGAGGAGGAGGAATGCAACTCTGTGAAGTAAAATTGATACAGTTTAACAGCCTGCTATGTAGTAAAGCCATAGTTCCAATTCTTAATTATCATCTTATTTCAGAACCCAAGTAAATGCTTTGTGGTTATTTTACAGATATCTCAGTTGCTACACACACACACACACACTTTACTGGCTAATACCCATTTTCACATAGCTCTTTAGTCTAAAAATAACTTTAACTTTCATGTCTTACCAAGAGTAAGAAAAGGGAGGACAAATCAGAGAAATCTAATTTGGAAATCAGTGAGGAAAATTCTAACAGGACTTCTGGGTACTCTCTCAATGCTGTCTTGGGCCTCAAACTAAATTATTACAGTTTCTGTGTTGTAGCCCTGGGTCACTTGTGCATGAAGACAAAGGCAACTTCAACTTGATATTTCTGTCATCCCTGCTGTGGGAAGAGTCCTTTTCCTGGTTTATAACATCAATCACTCTTGCAATAAATCTTGGGAGTGAATATGGTCATTTAAAACTCCACCTGCACAAACAACAGAAAATAAGAGCTCATAAATCTCTACACTGGTGATTAACAAATTTTGGGTCCTGGGCAAAGATATTATGGGGGAAGGGCTCACTAATTCATTAATAAAGACTGATTTGCTGACAATCTGTTTAGTTTACAGCATAGGGGGAAAGCAAACAAGCCCCTGCTAAGAAAACAAAACGTTAGAGGTTAGTGAATTCCCAGCTGATTAGAAGGATTAGAGATATGATATCCTAATGTAGCAAAGGGCTTCAAATGCTTGGAAACTGCCCCGATGTTCGGCTACAGCCTTCACCCCCAATGTCTAATTGTCAGCAAGGCAAACCCAGCAGAGCATTAGGAAGAGAACTCCAGGCACTTGGTCTCCGTGGTTTCACTGCATTGCTTTCATTCACTCCCTGTGTTCTGGCTGCCTTTGCTTATCTACTCCCCCAGAAGCTTTTCTCATTCTCTAGGAAAGATCATTGGAGATGAGGTTATGGCTAAAAAACAACCTCTTCATAGGTATAATCCTGCTTCGTGTTTTACAATATCTGCTTTACAAGAGGGGCCTAGGCCAAGAGGATGGGGGTGGGAGGTGGAGAGATTTTAAAATTCTGGGGTGCAAGGGGATGTGTGAAAACAACGGAGACTCTGAAGACCACATGCAATGCATTTCTGGAAGGACACACTCAAGAAAGTTTTCGCTGCATGAAGAAAAGATTTTTCAACCAATAAAGTATTTTCGACACATCCATCACAGCCCGCTGGGGACACAGATGTATTTTTGTGTGTCTACTTTCCTTAACTATGATAATGAGGATTCTGAGAAGCACTTGCTTTCTTGATTGTCCCCAGGTAAAGTGGGGGGAAGATGACTTCTTAATACCCTGGCGTCTGTATAGCACTAGCAAGAGCCGGTGGAGCCCTGTCCGGGGTTTTAGTTGCTGTTTTCTTGGCAGATGGGGAGCGACAGAGCGCTTGGGTTGGATGAAAGGCCCTCAAAGAAGGGTAAGGCCATTTTCCTTGAAATTTTCAATGACAACTGGCAAGGACCATTTCCCGGGGAGGAGGGGCGCCTACAGAGCCCAGCGGGCCGTGGGCTAGCGGTGTGAGTTGGGCCGGTGCCCACTCACCTTGGGCCTGGGTCAAAGGAGATGGATGAGCCCAGGCTTGCAGCCACGGAGTGCATTTACACCGCCCGTTGGAAATCAGGGTCCCCGGCGTGTGAGAGTCCCTGGTGTTGGGGTCGGGAGCTTAGCTGGGCCCAGCAGGCCCCTCCCCTGGGCCTCCCGGATCCGCCTCTATTCCCTAGATAAATTCCTAGTGTCCACCAAATTCCTCAGCGCTCTCTCAGCACTCTCCTCTACGGCCAGGGCTCCGGGGTGGGGGAACAGAGCGCCGGCTTCTTCCGCACAGAAGCCCGCACGGTGGGTTTGGACCCTGCCCAGGGGAAGGGCTGAGACCCAAGCAGCCAGACCCCAGACCCCTGACTTCAACTCCGCACACCAGGTGGCTGCTCCTCCACACTTGATCCATTGGTTTCGGCTCTCTCTGCTCTCTCTGATCTCTCTGATTCCTTCTCTCTCTCTCTCACTCTCTCTCTCTTTTTCTCCTCTCTCCTCCCTCCCTCCCTTCTCCCTCCCTCCTTCTCTGTCCCTGCGTCTCCTCCAACATGTCCACGGGGTCCCTCAGCGATGTGGAGGACCTTCAGGAGGTGGAGATGCTGGCGTGTGACGGGATGAAAGTGGACTCAAGCAAGGAGGGTGCGACTTCCAACGAGAGTACCGAGGAGGGCTCCAACTGCGAGAACGGGTCTCCGCAGAAGGGCCGCGGCGGCCTGGGCAAGAGGAGGAAGGCGCCCACTAAAAAGAGCCCCCTGAGCGGGGTCAGCCAGGAGGGGAAGCAGGTCCAGCGCAACGCGGCCAACGCGCGCGAGCGGGCCCGCATGCGGGTGCTGAGCAAGGCCTTCTCCAGGCTCAAGACCACTCTGCCCTGGGTGCCCCCGGACACCAAGCTCTCCAAGCTGGACACGCTCCGCCTGGCGTCCAGCTACATCGCCCACTTGAGGCAGATCCTGGCTAACGACAAGTACGAGAACGGTTACATTCACCCCATCAACCTGGTGAGTCGGTCCGTCTCCCCCACCCCCGGGCCGCGGAGGCCGGCCGCCTTCGCGGTGCACAGCTTCGGGGCGCGCGTGAGCGCGGGGCTGGGACCCGCGGGGGCTGGGGGTGGGAGCTCTGGGATTTTACCCACGGGGGTCACTGCTGGCCTAGCGCCTCTAGGGACCAGTGTTGGGCGATCGCTACACCGCCTTGGCTTCTTGCTGTGCGTGCCGCGGGATGGCGAATGATTTATGCCAGAGTTTGACGTGGCACTCCAGTAAGGGATTTCCAAGAGTATTCAGCTGGGAGAAAGGGGAAAGGAAAAGGGGGGATCTCCCCCTCACCCGTGCCAGCGCCATTCCCGCTGTCGCAGTGGGGACAGGAAACATCGACGTGATGACGTGCACTGAAAAACATCCTATTAACCCCTTTATTCTTCTTTTAGCTGAGACTAAAACTTGACTTTTTGCCTTCTCATTCGTGTCCACGTCCAACCCCCTTCCTTTTCCAGGTATATATTTAAGACTGTTAGATGGTGGATTCATTCATGCTCCACCCCCATAATTGTTCATGGAAGCACCCCGACTGTGTAAACGTTCTCAGCTCTCCCCTAAGTCCTAGACATTCAGCAGATCTCAGCACCATCAATAAGTTTGCTCAGGTAATCGTGGAAGAATCATTACAATAACAGGCCACTCTCCCCTAAGCTGTGGGAGTCTCATTCTCTTATTTGCTTATAAGCCACTGTCCTTCGAGTCTGATTTTTAATACAACAATATGATGCCCAAGAGTCCATTTCTCGGGTGCATTTTGCTGTTTTAAAGGATATATTCTAATTCCTCTTTCAATTGGTTTCATTTGAAAATTTGAAGGCTCTAAAGAAAAACAACAACTTGAGGGGAATTCTGTTTATATATGATAAGAGTGAGATTTTCCCTCTCTTAAAAGTCAAGGCTTATCAGCCAGCCACCAGTGAGAGACATTTGATTTGTCTTCTCACACAATTGGTCTCAGTAATTGGAGAAAAGGGTAGCAACAACACACTTTGCCATGAAAAAAATATATATATATATATATTTCCCCTCCAATTAAAACTGGTGGGGTTTTTTTTTAAAGTGAGATATGTAGTTTTTAGAACACGAATTTCCCTGAGGCATTCACAGTGGCTGCTGCTTCTTTCTTTGAATGAAAAACAACTTATCCGACTTTATTATAAAACAGCGGAGAGAAAGCTTTGCTTTCTCGGGAGTAGCAAACTAATCTTAAATAAAACGTTCTTGTGTCTCTTATTCGAATTCTGTCCCCTTCAGAGATTAACTTAAAAACTGTGGTCAAAGCTGAGGCTTGGAGGAAAGAAACCAGAGTCGACACATAGCTGGAGGAGAGAGGACCCTAAAACCTGATCCCGCCCCCCTCCCGGGGGTCTGAGAAAGCACTGCGGCCGGCCCCTGGTGACCGGTGGGCTCCTAACCCCACTCAGCTCTCCAGTGACTCCTAGAAGCGCCTGCCTGGGGCTCTGGAGCAACCCACCCCTGGGCTTTCAATTCAGAATGAACCCTGCTTGCTCGAATTCTAAGATCCCACCACCGCCCCTCAAGCTGAGGCTTGGCCCCTTGGCTGGCTTTTTTGCCTTATCCCAGCCTCCGGGTACACACGGATAGGAAGTCCATCGTCCAGGATAACCAGCCTTTCCAGCTCACGGTCTGCTCCTCCTCCTCCTCCTCCTCTCCCTCCTCCTGCTCCTCCTCCTCCTCCTCACCCGTCTCAGTCTGGGGCTCTGGGCCCACCCCATTCTCCCCTCCCCCTCCAAGTCCACTCACCTCCTTGGCCCTCTTCTCCTCTGCAGACCTGGCCTTTCACCGTAGCTGGGAAACCCGAGAGCGACCTGAAAGAAGTGGTGACGGCCAGCCGCTTGTGTGGAACCACGGTATCCTGACCTTGGAGGTGCGAGTCTGGGGAAGGCTCGCTCCCCGGGGGGGGGGAGCGGGCCCCAGGAAGGCGCCCCCCGCCCTCCCTCGCTCTCTTCTCAACCCCCCTCGCGCAGCGCCCCTCTCCCATCCCTCCCTGCGAGAACACTTTAGAGCAACGACGAGATTCGTTTCCAAACAGAGGACATCGATTGTACTTACAGATTCCCCCATCTATTTAACTTTATTAACTTCTACCGTGAATGACTTCTGTGAGCCTTGCTGGTCCAAGAGCAATATGTAATTATATATAAATCTATAGAAACAGATTGATAAGAGCCTATCGACGACGTGTATCTTTTTGTATAATATGTTGTGAGATGTAATCATAGGATAGCTGACTTTGACAGTCACATTTATAAAGTAATTCACCCAAAGATATATATTTTTTTCCAAGCAAGTTTTGCTACTTTTGAAAATAAATCTTTCTTTATATTGCTAAAAAAAAAAAAAAAAAAAACCACCTCCTGGCATTAGTGTGATTTTTCTTTAATAAAAAAAAATAGATAAGGGGGAAAAGCAGACAATTGTGGAGAAATTTGATGATAAAAACGATTCTCTTAAGCTTCCAGCCAGATTTCTAGTAAAAATGAAGTATGATTTCCACTGTGAAGGTGCAGGTCGTATTTTATGCTGCAAGATTCTGTTTAGTCCATTACAATTATCGCAGCTATCAAGACAATGGGAGGCTGATGTTCAGCTTTTCTACAGTAAAAGAAAGAAAAGAAGACAGGAAAGGAAAATCTGATTTTACAACTATTTTCCAGTAACATTGCTGACAGGAACAGGAAAATCAGCTCCGAACTCCCCATGCGGGGATGCGATTCCAAGGCCCGCGTTTTGTAATGAAGCCCTGAGATTCTAAACGACAAAAGAGGCAGATCCCCTAACCCTTAGCATGTGTCCTTCGACTTCCAAGAACTTGTCCATATTTTACCCAAGTCTTGGTAATAACACCTGGATTGCTTCTACCCATAAGCGCGCACCCTACACGTGCCTGCGTTTCGTTTGGTGTTACCCCCTTTGCGTTCAGCTCCCGCCGCGAACTTCCTGCGGGCTGGATCTTAATTTAAACATCTCCCAGGCTACGGGACCGCTCGGAGGGGGAGATTAAGTTGAGATAAACAGACAGGCGAGGCCGGCGAGCCTGGGAGCCCGGCTCCCTCGCAGCCCCCGTGCAGCCCGCGGCGGCCGACGCACCAGATGCCACCGTGGCTGTTTAATGTTCGGGGTTATGACCGCAGTGTTTACACGACGTCTTCGGTTATTTATACTGTTATTCCTCGCAGAGAGCCTTGAAACTTCCGCTTCGTTTGCTCTCTCCGATTTTTTTCCCCTCCGATTCTCTTCCCCCCTCCCTCCCACTGGGGTACCCGTGTGAGGACTTCTCCCCAGACCCCCCTGCGAGGCAGCGCCAGGGGGGCCGGGGTTCCCGCTGAGTGGGTCCCCACTGGGGAACGCTGAATCCCACAGTGCTCTCCAGCGAGAACCCGTTCTGAGAGCCGGTGACGGCGCTGCGTCTTCGTCCAGGTCATTCCAGAGGGTCAGGCCTTTCCGCCCAGACTTGACTTTGAGGAGCATATTTCAGGCTCTAGCTGGTGTCCCCCTTGCCCAGATTCTCTTCTACCAGAGGACAAAGAGCTCTTCTCCATGATTTAGTATGTATGATTTAGCTGTTTTCCTTTTCAAGCCCAGAAAACTTCACAAGTTTCTAGACACTTAAAAAAATATTTTATTGACATCATCAAGGTGTTGTACAGAAGGGCTACCATTTCATAAGTGAGATCATTAAAGCAGACATCTTTCTTTCTTTCTTTCTTTCTTCCTTTCTTTCCTTCCTTCCTTCCTTCTTTCTTTCTTCTTTTCTTTTTTTTTGAAAATGTCATTCCTTCCTTCACTTTCCCCCAGCTAGATATGTTGTTGGTTTTGTTTTTTTTTTAATACATGCTGGATAGTCTCAGAACTGCAAACAGGTGGTAATTGATTTCTGTTCATTATCTGATAGCGCTGAACCACACAAGAATGTTTCAAGAAGTCTTTAGGTGACTTGCCTCCAATTTAAAGCCTTCAATTTGGGCAGGAGGAGGCTGTGAAGCCATGAACACATGGATTCAAGTCCTGGTTCTACACCCAGGTAGCTATTTCTTCTAAGGGTCTCATCCAAGTATGCAAACAGCGATAAAGGCAATGACAAGACAGTAATTATCATATTCATATTTTCCTTTTCACTGAAAAAAAAAAAAGCCTTAGTGTGGCCCAAGTAAAATCATATTCTGGGCAAAATGTTTATCACTTGTAGGAAGTGCCTGGTAGTGAAGTATGTCTGTCTAGCCCCAAAATGAAAGTCTCTCAATCTAAGGAGTGTACATTTTGTAATGTACAGTTGATCATCTTTCATTGCATAAACTAAAATCTCCCCCCCATCTCTCTCTCTCTCTCTACACTGAGGATTGAATGCTGAGCCTCACACTTGCCAAGAGAGCGTCTCTGAGCTTTTCTCCAGCCCTAAAATGTGTCTATTCGATGCAATGTTGAATCTTTCTCACCTTCACTCTTCCTCGGTGCCTCTAAATTTGTCCAGAATTTTGGACTATAATGAAGCCTCGAAACTGAAAAGTTCAGAGCAAAGACAGAGCCTAAGAGATGCAAATAGAAAAATAACCGCTACAATGGCTGGGGAGAAGGACACAGGGTCCCATCAGGAACCGCAGCAGGTGGACCTGGATACACTAAGTCTTCACAAATTGTTGACTGAATAAAGTGGTGAGAAGGGATTAACGGGGTTGTCTGACGACGAGCCCATCTTCCACACAGGGCCATACTCTCAGCCTCTCTCCTTCTCCACAGGCCAGGCTGCATGCACACACTCATCAGGGGCCAGCTTCCTCACACCAACTAGTTGTCATCCTATTTTGCCTCGAAACCAAGGCTCAGGCACCCTGGTTCACGTAGTGTCACATTTTAAGAGTAACTGCCCTGACCTAGCAGGTGAATGATGGGGAATGTCCTCTGACCTCTAGCTTATGGAAACGGTCTTAGAAGCCACTTTCAGAATGGACCACAACAAGGATGCCTTAAGGGAAATGTTTTTAGAAAGGGTGTCTCTGGGCTATCGGGAGAAGCAAATATATTCAGACTGTACTATTTCTCCCATCGTCTCTGTCTCATTGTTCTTTTTATAAGAAATCCAGTGTGCTTTTAGCAGGTGTGCCTACTGGCAAACCACACCCTTTCTCTTTTGTAAGGAGAATCTAATACATGGAGCTGTGGTAGCCACTGGTTATATGTGTTGTTAGTGAACACACTCCCCAATGGGATTTTTAAAGCCTGAGGTTCTTTCCTATGTTCTGGAATCATCTGTCTGTTCCAAACATAAGAGATTGGAGATAGGGAAGATTGGTATCACTTCTAGATTTTTGTGTGATGCTACTGTGGCTGTTCCAGACATTTTGAGAATCGCTGTTTGAGCTCCATCTTATTAGGAGATAATGCAGGGAGAAAGGAAATGTTGCAGACAGGAATGCTGCTCTTAAGATGCTGCATTTCTGGGCTCTAGCTTGATTCAATTCTCAGTCCACTCCAGAGTGACATGTATGGGACTCTTAACGTTTAATTACCAGTCTGGAAATCAAATCACCAGTCCTGGGAATATTAAATATTCGTTCCACCATGGTGTGGGAACATGTGTATCTTCATCTGTACCCTCAAAGATAATTTTCAATCGTTAGGTGATCATTAAAAACCTGAGTCCCTTAGGATGAGTCTGTTACTAGCTTCCTGGAATTCTTAAAGTGAAGAGAAATCTGGGCACCTTGAACTGAGTATCCCTGCAAGAGGATTCATTCTCAGGCTAGAAAAGAATTCCACGTCACTCCTCGGGGAGTATTAGAGTTGGCTTTGGTTCAGTATCCTGGGTGTCAGCAAATCGGCCTGGCAGCGGGATGAGGGGTGCAGAGGGAAGAAATAGAAAAAGGCCTTCTCTCCCCGCCCCCTCCCCCCCTCCCGTCTTCCATCCTCTCCCCTCCTCCCCGCCCCTCCCCCTGCCTGTGAGAAGGACTGCTGGAAGTGAGCGGGAGGAAGAAGTTTTCTGTTCTTAGCCCTGAAACGCAGGGTCTGGGGAAAGTGCTACTGGTCAGGGTGCGACGCCGCGCGCAGGGCGGCGCAGGCGCGGCGACGCCGGCACAGCGGGCCGCCCAGCTTCGGTCCTCGGCCTCGCATCCTTTCCTCCAAATTCTGGCTCAGCCCGCGGGAACTCACTGGGTGCCAGTGGCCTTCTCCAGAGTCCGTGGTCGGGCTTCTTCCCGGTGTCCTGGCTGGAAGCATCTTCGATGTTGAGGTTCGGGTCCGCCCTTCTCCCGGTTCACCACCCAGAGCCCGAGCAGCAGAGCCCCTCCCCCAGGAGAGGGAGGAGAATGGGTGGGAAAAGGCTGAGAGGGCCACCATTTCCAGTTCCCCACGGTGGATCTGACTTCTCGAGAGCAGCTGGGCGTGACGCCTCCACAGAGGCCGACTCGAGAGGGAACAGGAATGCCTGCTGGGTCTGGAGAAGGAAAGAGATAAGGTCGTGCGCAGTTGGAGAGGGTACAGAAAGAAAAGAGTGTGGGGCTCTTCCTGTGATTCAACTGAACGTGAACTTTGTATACCGAGCACTGTGTGAGGAGGGAGGGGGGGGGAGAGAGACAGAGACAGAGACAGAGACAGACAGAGAGACAGAGACAGAGACAGAGAGAGACAGAGACAGAGACAGACAGAGAGAGACAGAGAGACAGAGAGATAGAGGGAGAGGCAACCATGATGGGACCAGAAGGAATCTACTCAGGAAGGGACATTATTAGCCCCAAGCATTGGTCCACGTTGTTTTTTTAAGCACTAAATCCTAGGCAAGGGTCCACACTAAGCACTATGCTGTTGAAAACACTGTCTCCTTCCCGAAACTTTTTTGATTGGTTGTTAAGATCATTTACTAATGAATCTCACCTATAATTTTTCTTTGTGGTGCATGTGAAAATCACCATGCTTTGCTTCCCTGACATCTTATTTTCCCGTATCAGAGCCTCATTCAATTACTCATATATATATCAGAACAAGAAGGCATATTTTTATTTCCTAAAAGAAAAACTCTTCTATATACTCAAAACATTTCTGACACAAAAATGTGTGGTGTTTCTCTCATCTGAAGTCTCCAACTCTAGATGGACAAACTCTTTATCCTACAGTTAGATTCTAATACTGTTTATCTAAAGTGACCATCAGACACCATGGCATAAGACCTCAGTTTCCTAATATTTCCTACATCAGATGCCAAGCTTCTGACCAACCAGTTTTAAATGAAGGTTTATTTTTCTCATATCTTCCCCCTCCGATTTGATGATTTGCTAAAATGCTTCGCAATACCCAGAAAAATACCTTCTTATGTTCATCATCTTATTGTAAATGACACTGA